TTGAGATGATCAATTTGAAGATATTTTGGCATCAAAACAACATCTTCTAATGAAATTTTGGAGGTAGGTTCAAATTTGATTGTTTTGAATCTCAACTCCATATAAATGTTTTCCTATATATAATGATGAAAAATGATCCTACAGGACCCTCTCATACTCATGTGTGTAGGACCCAAAGAATCACCATTAAATTTGATATGGATCTCTAAAAAAATCAAGTCCCACACTTTTGTGATAACTTTTCTAGGGATCCGTACCAAATTTATTTCTGATCCTTCGGGATCCTACACACATGGGTGAGAAAAGATCCTATAGGATCATTACTCATATAATGATAATGATAATATAATGGTATAATATCCACTTTCATATCTTTGTTACATATAATATACAGTTTTCTATCTTGTTACATACAACATATAACCTGAAAGTGACACCGAGAGAGAAAGGGCTAGTGAGAGGCACACCCCATTTTGCCAAGCTTAGAGAGATTTGCATCCTATGACGAGGGAGCACGCCACATTTTTAGCAAGAAGGGAAATGTATTGAATATCAATGTTCAAAAAATTGATTCGGGCCGACTACTTGGCCTATGCCCCAGCTGAGTACTTGCCCGAGTCCAGGTACAATTGAAAACTATTTCAAAAATAAAAATATAAAAAAAAATCTTAAAAATAGGAAAAATAAATTCAAAATAAAATTGAATAAAACACAACTAATTATTGTTAAACAAGGAGGAAAAAAAATATATTTTAACAAATGAGTTTGTGATTGGGGTTATTTTTTAAAATTCTAAAAAATATATATACAAATAAATATTCATGGTCAATACACTTTCCGATATTTGCTAAAATGATAGAATAAACAAATAAGGGTGCAGTTTGTATAGAGCCTAGGCTCTAAACAATCAAATTAGAGCCTACATTCAAATAGTGTCGAGAAATGTGGTTTTAATATTGCAAATATTTGTGATAGCCTTAAGATATATTTATTTATAAAGTTTAAAGCTTTAAAAATAGTGCAGATTGACAGATCTATAAAAACTTGAAAATCTTAAAAATTGATGGTCCAAAATTGTGTTACAAAATACATTATTTCTAAAACGTGGAATCCATTATTTCTCATGTTCATGCATCTTGATGTCGAGATGGCCAATTTGAAGATATTTGAGCATCAAAACAAACTCTTTTAATGAAATTTTGGGGGTAGGCTCAAATTTGATTGTTTCGAGCCTCGGCTATATGTAAACTTTTCCCATTAAATAAACATATCGTAAATATAACTTGAATTGTTTTGAATTTTTTATAATATTTTTAAATTTTTTTAAGATCCCAACCTCCAACTCAGGCTGGGTAAGGGCCGGGCCCAAGTAACTCAACCGCATCGAGTGAGAGAAAGCACACCCTAATTTAGTCCACATTAGCAATATATTACAAACAGGATTGAAGCAGCCTAGTGAGAGAAATGCTAGAGAAAGGCCTAACTCATCCTAAAGTGGGAAAGAGGAAAGTGATTTATTTTGAAGGACACGGTTTCTATGCAGCCAGCTCACGTATTGTAGAAATGTGAGGTTGGCAATAAATATATTTTTTAAATATAATTTAATCTTAGTTTTTAGAGAATATATAATCTTTAACATGGGAATCATGAATATAAAAATAAATAAAATTTGAAAACTAAAAATAATAATTATATTAAAAAAACACTTGGACGGTTAGTTACAATTGTTTTTAGATGAACCACCTATTTGTATCCATGCTTTATATCTCTTGACAATTTTCTTTTTTTGAAAAGGACCCGGTTTCTATGCGATCAAGCCCGCATAGCCTCTTAATAAATCTATTTTTGAGAAGGATTTTAAGACTTAATTTTTAAGGACATATGGTCTCATGGAGTTTATGAATAAGAAAAAATAAATAAATTTTAAAAACTAAAAATAATAATTGTACTAAAAAAAACAAAAAAAAACATTTGTACCATTAGTTCTCATTCTTTTTAGATGGAACACTTTCTGGACCGCATGTGTATAAAATGCGGTCCAGTCCCGCATAAAACAATTTTCCAAACAAAAATGCCTTTATGGGGTATCCATGAAACAATTTTCCTTTATTTGAAAGCAAAATTGGGTGTATTGGGTAGTGAGCGGGCTACGGCATTGCCCAAAATCTTTCTCCATAATTCAAATCCACCATCTCTAACTATTTCTTACCCCTGCCTATTGGTAAAATACTGGAAATATCCCTAAGTACATCACTTTGCCTTCATTTTGCACCTCTTTTATGGAAGGTAAAAAATGTATTGATTTTAATGCTGTTTTGACAGTAACTAGTCACTCCAAACATATCGAATGAAGTATTCAAGTCAAAAGTTATATGCTCCCCCGGGAGCATATTAATTGCCTCCGGTGAAATCGATTATCCATAAGACCCCGAATTTGGAGATGTAAACTCCTCACTATGGCGAGTGACTCAAAAACTTAATTAATTAATTGATTAAACGTTATGTTATCATCATTATCATCAAAGCTTTTTTTTCCCTGATTGGGATCAGCTAAATCAAACACTGTGCCTAAAAAAATATAATATCAGAAGATTTAATTAAGTATTAGCGAAGACCACCCAGCTTTGGATGATCAGATCTAGGTGTTTAGGAAATCAAATTTCATCTTTTGATAACAGTCATCTAGTGATTTTAAATTAGATCCCAAAATTTCAAATGAAAAATATCCTTCTAAGTAGCTTTTATTATGAGGAAATAACTACATAGCAGGCTCCTCCAGGAGCACAATGTATGAACTTGTGAGATTAGTTGTCTACTTGCGCCTACATATTATCTGCATTAGACAGTTTTCTATTGAAATAAACAAACAAGAAAATTGGATTGGCACTTCATACCACTCAGATCTTTAATTGGTAGCCTAAAATCATTAGGGATTTTAGAAGGTTTCATGTGTAGAAGCTTCACAAGCTCATTGCACTTGAAAGCTAATATATAAGATCAATCAACTTTCACTAAAAGCTATTAACCAGGATTAAGAGAATCTTGACTATAGCTTTTATCACGGTTGATAATGTTTGCAATTTGTTGATCAATGTTGGAAGGGTGGGATTTTGGTAAGGCCGCGGTTATATCTATCTTCACCTAAAGAACTGATGGAAAGCTTGGATTTATCACCCAAAAATAGTATGCAAATCCCTTTCCACCTGAGACCGTAAAATTTGGAGTTATGGAAACTGAAAAATGACAATCTAGAAAAATTGTTGCCAAATAAACCAATTGTACGGGTTTAAATAAGTTTTTTTTTTCAAATCCATGTTCAACAAGTAAAAAATGTAGGATTTCTAGAGTTTTTTTTCAAATCCATGTTCAACAAGTAAAAAATGTAGGATTTCTAGAGTTTTGGCAGCACAATTGGTTTCAATTGAGACTAGACCATGGCTTTGTCCGTCCTTTGATTCATGTACAATGCAGTCTCTTCGGCCTTTCATATCTAAATAGGTAGTGAAAGAAACACTAAATATTCTAGTTGACCTCAACAATGTTGTTGAAACAGATAGTATTGAACATGCAAAAACGACTTGGATTGTTTCATTGCAAAACTGAAACAGATAAGTGTCATTGTTGAACATTCAAAAACCAGTTGGATTGTTTCCTTGCAAAACCGAAAACAGATAGTGTTATTGTTGAACATGCAAAAACCAGTTGGATTGTTTCATTGCAAAACCCACAGCTTTCGTAGCAAAGCCTACTAAGACTTCTTTTGTTGAACAAGCATAGCACACGTTGCCATAAAGGCCGGGGACATGTTTTCATAGTTGCTACCGTGTCTACCATTTTCTCATGAAACAAACAAGGAAAAATGGTAGTCCACTAGTAAAGAACTTTCTCGCAATATATGCCAATTTATATCTTACATAGACCCACATCCACACACATATATACCCACAGATCTATGTCGGATTAGTGATTTGGATCAAAACTGGATTGTTCTAAATTGGTGATCTAGAAAATACTAATAAATAAATAAAAATTAAAATAAGGGTGTTTGGGTGGGGATTTAGAGGAGATGTAAGAAAGCACTAGATAAGCTTAAAAAAATAAGAAAAAAATATATATTGGGGAGATTAGGGGTGAGACTAGGGTAGGCCCCTCATACCATCCTAGAATTGGTTCGGTCCTGACCTATTCCATCTGGATCAGAAATAGCCACGTTTTGTAACAATGCTATTAAGTTAAGTTGTGATATATGAAGGTCATGATCATTGGTGGCAACTAGACGTGAAATTGTGCACTACCTATGTGCTATGAAGTTCAATGATTTTTTTCTTTAAATCTTAAATATAATTGGACGAGGTTTCTATTAGGCCTAGGCTTTATGAAAACAAAACAAAACCTCACCTAAAATCCTTATCCGAAAAGCAATTTTGGCAATAGGAATCTCCACGATGGCTATAAAATCAATTTCCAACATTGACAATAAAATTAAAACTAAAATAAATAGTATACATCTTGCGGATCTATGTTATGTTGTACACTTACTTTTAGGGCAAAATGAACGATCTGGATACTTTATTATAATATACATTATTTTTAGAGTTTCAAATTTTTTTTTTTTCACAATCATAATGTTCAAGGCAAGATGATCAATGCAAATATTTTATAATGCTTGAATTGTAATTTTTGAGGAGTTATGAGGTGAGGTTTTTCTTATTTTAATAAGGCCACAACTCTATCGAACTATTCTCTGTAATAATTTGTCACTAAAGAGATACTAATGATTGTGACTTTCTTGTTCTAAAGATAACAACACTATTATACACTATGTAATCATAAAATACAAAAAGAAATTAGGCGGGAATTTTGAAAGCCTAAAAAAGAGAAGATGACAAATGAAACCAAAAAGGGCCATATGGTCATCTAAAGGAAAGACGCGGGTATTTAGAACTTCTCTGAAATTTTTTAAACTTAGAGGGTAATATTGGTCATTTCCACTCCAACAAACCCCAAATTTCAACCAGTCGTTCGAGGCTTGAAGCAACCGTGTTTCTCTCTCCCTCTCCAATTTCTCTCTTTCTCGTTCTCTCTCCCTCTCAATTTCCCTTCGCTTGCGTTCCATTTTTAGGGTTTTAGGGGCTGAATTATCACTGTAATGTGTGTGATTCGCATTTTCAGATGCTGAATCGTTTCTAGGGTTTGGTGAAATCTTCTCTGAGAAGTGTTCCATTTGGGGCTGAAGTAGCAGCTGGAAGTTCCTGGGGTTCTTGCGCTTCGCTCCACTTTCTCTTTGAAATCAGAATTGGAGGCGCCAGAGCAGCTGAAATCTCCCGCGTCTCGTTTCCTTCTCGAGAATTTCAGAAGATCACGTTGCTGGCGTTGCTCCTGGTTTCTAGGGTTTCTGAAGCTTGATTCGTTCAGTCAAGCTATTTGAAGTTTTAGGGTTTTGAATTCCGAGATATGTTGCATGTGAACTGTGAAGTTCTAGTAAGGGCTCTTGGGGCATATGATGCTTCACAACGTGGTGGAGACTAGAAGTGAAGCCTTCAGTTCTTGGTATGCTAGGGTTTTGAAGAGGACAGTGAAGCCTTCAGTTCTTGGCATGCTGGCGTTTTGGAGAGATGAAGTTGCAGTGAAATATTTTCTTTTAAGGCGATTTTAGGCTTTTGGGAAGATGTTCTATTCCCAGTTCATTTTGGCAAAGAAGGGTCCTTTAGGGACCATATGGATCGCTGCTCATCTTGAAAGGAAGCTCAGGAAGAACCAGGTGGCTGATACTGATATTGGGGTTTCAGTAGGTCAGTCATGAATTCCCAAAAGTTTTCCCTTTTAGTATTTAATGCTCTAGCTCTAATGATTTATTCTTTGCTGCTAATTCTGATAGAGACGAGAACAATTAGTGTACTGTGGCTTTTATTGACTTATGGTTAATTTAGTCTGCGAAGTTATTCTTTGAGATATTTGTTGGGTTCTTTAAGATTATTGATTGCCACGTATTGGCTGTGGGGGTTGTTTCTTCACCCGGTTTTTTATTTCAGTTGTGACATTATCAATTTATATACATAAGTGGGAATGCACTATGGTGGTTAGCGTTTTGTGATGATTTTGATTTGGGACTTGTATAGGTGAGCTGGAGTATGTAGTTAAACAAGTTTGTCTAAAGTCTGGAATCTGAGTAGAGGTCTTAATGGCGACCATGATGAAATCTTGCTGAGTTTTGGGGATGTGTTGACATGCCGTTGTTAGCCAGTAAACTAGTTTGAAGAAAAACTTGGATTTATTTCTTTCATACTTGGACAAATTCTCCTGACTTGACCAATGTCCTTTAAATTTTTTAACAGTATGGGTTTGGAATGCTCAACGTGGAGCATTTTTGACATTTATTTTGACCTATTTTTGTTGGAATGGTGTTAAATGTCAGATAGAGGCTGGAAACTGTCAAGCAGTTTTCCCCAAATTTTACTTACGAAAAGTAGCCCAAATTTTTGGGTGATTAACTGATGTAGGACCAAAGGAATTTTCACTCTACACAATTATATTAGCTCTTAGTGGAATGAGCAGATACAGGGAAGTGGGTTTTAGGGCTCATTACAGTTTCTTAAGAGGCGTGGGCTTGAAGTTTATGAAGTCTATAGGTGGGTGGAAGTGTGGCTGGGGTTGTAGGTCAGGCTTGTATTTAAGGTGAGGTTTAGGGTTTGATGGTGGGTTGTTAAGGGTTGTTTGTGTTGCTGGAAGTTTACCAGTCCAGAAAAAACCAGTGAGGGAAGGATGGTAATGGGCTGATTTAGGCAGGATTCAATTAGGGTTGGATGAAGTGGAGGATGGGGTATAGGTAGTGCCCATGTTGCATAAACTAGGGTCCATGTGCCAGTGTTTGACATGGGTAGGGTGTGCCGGATTCCTCATGCATGAAGAAGAGAATCCCACTACGTGGCTATATTACTAAGAGATAACCAAAGCAAGTTATGTTTTACTAATATTTGTTTCATGGAGAATAGCAAGAAACAATCATTATACCTTAATTTTCTGAATATATAAATATTGTGAAAGTTCCATAAGCATTTTCAAAGTTCACATTTGTCTACTCAATACGAAAAAGAAGATCAAGTCTCTAAAGTGTTGTCAATAATGCTTAATAAACAACAAGAAGAATCCAAAAGAAACTGTGTTAATGTGTGTGCCGATACGTGTCCTACACCATTACGACACTCAAACAAGTAGGGTAGGAGAAGATGGAGAGGATGATGGTTTTGTGTAGGGGTTGAAGGAGTTCTAACAACTGCGGTTGCTGGCAAATTTATGAAGGGGATGGGTTAGGGTTGGAAGAGAGAGAAGTAAAATGTTCGACTAGGTCTGAAAAGTAGTAGAGGTTTGAGCAAGGAGAGAAATGGGGTTTGATGAGTTGATGCGTGTCATGGAGGAAGGTGATGAAGAAGGGGCATAAGGAGATTGTGTGGGTTTTAAGGGAAGAAGCATGGAGGTTCGCTTGGGGAGAGAAAAAGAGGATGGAATGGGGCATGAGCAGAAGAGTACAGTACACTCTCTTGTTATTAATGTTATAATATTTAGTGGTCTCAAATGCTTTATCAAAAGTAGTGAACCGTTGGTTTTCCAATTTGTAATCTCTTATTTCAAATAGTTTATACAATATCATAAAATACAATGGACATAAATTATTGGAGCAATTTTTTTAATGCTTTTCCTGAATTGTATGCCAGAAGAAATATGGCTGGAAAGAAAAATAATAACTGGGAAAAATTATGCATTTGAGGTTGGAAGGGCTAAAATGTCCCATAATGGTGATGATTTCAAATAAGTTCAACCCAGAAAAGTTAAAAAAAAGGTAAGAGCTTCTGAGAAATTCAAGAAAAGTAGCTCATACAATCTTTAGGGTCAGTTATTACTATATAAATTACTCAATTTAAACAAGAAAGGATTGTACTAAAAACTGAAATTTATCATATTCTTGATAGAGAATGTGGGCTGACTACCGCAGAACTCAGATGCTTTATGTTATGAAATAACTCCATGAACTCTAATATTTTATGTCCTGAAGTAACTCCATTGGAGTATTAATTATTAGAGAGTTTCTCTTAATTTATTCCTCCAATAACCAAAAGTGGAAGATCATGTTTGCTGAGAATAAAAATTGTTGGAGAGTCTACTGTTTCCTGTTGAATGATGACCCACGAATCCTTGGATAGGGTTGAGATATCTCACTTCAAAGTTAGCTGGAAGAATCTATTCTTTAAGTGGACTTTATTCATTATTTGAAACTTAAATATTATAGAACTTCATAGATGGATTGTGGCCTTAAATCTTATTTATAGAGGTTGGATCCCCTTATCCTGCTTAAGTTCAAAGTTATCCTATATCTTTCCTTTTCTCTCTTCCATTGTTAAGGAACTGGATTTTTCATAATTTTAGGAAACTAGTGCTTCTAAAAAATAAGGAAAGTATCAATTCCCCTCTTTTAGAAGGTTCTAGTGCATTGTGCTACCCTCCTAGGGTTCTTGAATTTGCACGAGGGGCCTGGACCCAGTAAGCACTGCTGGTTTGGTCCTCCATCTCTATTTGGGGGTTTTGGCTGGCCCACTTTCATTGACTTTGTGAATTTTTGAAAGTTTAAATTTGGGCAGATGTTTTTTCCCCCCAAATCTATTTGAACTCCAGTAGGACTGAGGACGTATCCTGCATTTGAACCATTGCGAGATTGACGTAAAATTGCTACGTTGCAAATGATGTTCCTGGTTGGCTTTGAATGCGGGATAGCTTCTTAATGTACAGACTGATATTTGTTACTATTTGCCATTAGTGCAAATTCATTTTTTACTAAAGTTTTTCTTTTTGATTTCTCTTCCTTCTTTTTGCCCCACTTTAACTGTGAGTTCTTTGTTAAAATAGCTTCAGACAAATACTGCTCCACAATTGAAAAAAATAGACTTTTGGGGAGGATCGTCTACCCACCGATCCCGACCTGGATCATTTGGATCGTCTATCAGGAAAATGTAAAATAAAAAAATCAAATAATGAGATATATGCTATATGATATTTGAAGTTATGGACTATTACAAAGTTTTCAAAGAGCCTAAGTGGCTAGACCTTATTGTTGCCATCCGCAGGGTTGGAGGTTCTAATCCTCCCCTTTTAAAAGTTAGTTATACTAATATATCATATACTATTATAGTATCTAATTATACATATATTGGAATTTAAAGAAAAGAGCCTGCATAGTGGGGTTTCAAACCTCTGACCTTATGGCAAAGGTTGGAGCGCTCTAGTCATCAAGCCATTTGACTTCTATGACCTAACTTACATGTATTTTAGATTTAGACTAATTAAAATGCCTCTAACTACATAAAAAGATTTATTAAAAAGAGGGGCGTTCCAACCTCCAATCTTATGTATAAGACCCACAGATTCTAGCCAATGGAGCGATTTGAGTTTTGTGATAAGCTACTAATATCACATATTTATAGTAAGGAAGCGACCGATTCAGTCTAAGAACCAGGCCATTCCCAATCTGTAGCAGATATTTTTGCAATCACTGAACTTAATCATTGATTCAGATAATAATAAGATTGCTCTATGAACGTCATAGTTCTCTCTTAATCTCTTTAAAAACAATGGTTAATGTGGAAGAAAAAAGAAGAAAGAGAAACATGGGACTTTATCATCTGGAATTTCTCATCTTTATTTCCGTTTTTTACAATGTGGACACGGGAAGTAGTTCTTAACTTTGTTAGCTATTTATAAACGTATTGTTTGTGGTGATAAAATTAATTGCGTTATTAGGTTAGATGAGGCTTCTCCACATACTTCAAAATATATAGCTTCATTTTGAATACCATTTGGCTATTTTCCTCTGAGTGTTTGAATCGGGAATAACATTTATGGTTCATATTTTACAGATTCTATTCTTTTCCCGGAAGTGCCTATTGCTCTTCGGTTATCTAGCCATCTGCTTCTTGGTGTGGTAAGGATATATTCCCGAAAGGTGAATTACCTTTTCCATGACTGCAGTGAGGCTTTACTTAAGATAAAGCAAGCTTTCCGTTCAACCGCAGTTGATCTTCCCCCAGAGGAATCTACTGCACCTTACCACTCTATCACTCTACCGGAGACATTTGATCTTGATGATTTTGAGCTACCAGAAAATGCTTTCTCCCATGGGTTGGTTCTCTCTTATGACTAACTGGTTCAGTTTATGTTTGATTCATGTTTGAGATTTTGTAGTTTATTGTATGCCATTCATTTTACTCTAGCTGCAAATTATACAGTGGTTTCGTTGATCATCATGTTAGCACGAGGGATCAAATTACCCTTCAAGATAATATGGATGACACGATGTACCCAACATCACAATTTGGACTGGATGGTAAATTATCTAAATCTGTGTTTTCGATATATTTTTCCCTTTCTCAATGATTTGTTTCTTTGTTCATATAACGATGATATGAACATGTGCTGCTATTCTTTTTTTTTTTTTTTAATCTTTTGCACGTTGTGGTATCTTGCAGAGAGATTCGGTGATGGAGATGCTACTCAGATTGTTCTGGACTTTGATGAGGTAAGCCAGTCTTTTGAATTTCATAAAGGTCTCATTGTTTGAGCAGGATCTTTCTGATATTAAACTGTCTGTTCTTGATAAATAACAGTGTTTGAAGTTGTTCTACTCCTTTTTCATTTGTCATGCGAACAGTAGTTGAGCTTCTTTATGGGTAGGATGTAGGAGTGTCCAGGGACACACCAATAACATTGAGTCGATTTTGGGTCCAAAGTTTTTCTGGTTGACCATCTAGACTGCCCCAATCATGAATTTGAAAACAAAATGAATTTTGAGCCATAAAAATGGTCAACTTGTCCTATTATTTTGGACTTTATTTCAAATTTTCAAAGGTCAGCAGATCTGCATTATTTTTGGAGCTTCAAATACATGGATCTAAGGTGGAAATGGATTTACAGTGCTTTCAGATGTGTTTCGGATCCAAAGTTCTTTGTAAACAATGGGGGATGCATGAGTTGGCTGTCTCACCAATACAGTTCCCTTCTATTGTTTTGCCACAAGGTCCACAACCAGTCTGTGGTATTCGTAAAATTTTGTCAGCCTTTGATGGCCAGGACTACACCATCCTTTTTGCTCCTAGTTGATAAGTTGTATTGAAATCTTCCAGACACAGCCATAAGCTGTATATTTCAATTGCTGAGTAGGTACTCACTTGATTCCATTTGGTATATTTCATGATATCATGGGGGGTACTTAATGGTGAATCGGTGATTTGTGCTGTTTAAGGGTCAATCGTTGCAGTATTAATAAAAGAAAATAAGAATGTTTCTATCTTAGCAACAGAGATGCTAACTGTGCTAAATTATATCGAGGCACAGAACTTCAAGATATTCCTCTGATATCTTGTTCTCTTTATGTGAGATAATGATTGTTCAGTTTGCACTGTTCCGTCAGCATATTCTTCTTTCCTCATGATAATTAACTTTGTCTTCCATCAATGTTGTGCATTTGTATTGTGAGATTTTTTCAGTTGAAAGTTAGACAGATTTCTTTTAGATTATTTTCTTTATTTCACATCTTAGATGATGTGTAATACGGATGCAATTGGATATCTTAGTCACTTATACCATAATGTTTTGGTGCTCGGAAGCACTGTAGGTGCCTCAATATATAAAAGGTTTCATTTAATGTGAAAACTGCTCTAGAACTTGTTGAGGGGTTTTTCAATTGCTGCTCGATGATCTCTCAGTTGTTGCCTTGATTTTTAACCCTTTGATTCCTTCCTACAATTTGATGACATTGCAGGACCCATTCGTAGACAAAGTTCAGTCTCCAGGGCAATCTAACCTGCTGCTGGGCTCAGAAGAAGAGTAAGCTTTCCTGCTCTCTCTCTCTCCTCCCTCCCTCCCTCCCTTTTATATTTTCATACGTGTGGTCCTTCCTCATTATCTGTTTTAATGTGTTGGTGGGGTCCTCTGTACACAGACTGCATATGTTATGCTTGCCCTTATCTAATTATGGTGTGTGGATTTAATCAGACTATGTTAGTTATTGGGGTTTTAAACCATTGTGGTTTTGAGATCCCTTTATTCTTTAATGTTGTGGTCTCTTTGATGTGTAATAATTTCCAGAAAGAAAATGTTGGCTTTCAACGATTATATCAATACTTAGAGAACCATTGCCCAGCTTCTATGATATTCTCCATTTGGTTGGTGGCAATTTATCCTTAAATTGTGTAGTGAAGTGTTTTTTTTGGGTGAGGCAGTGGGGAGAGGGCCCCTACCCTTGGTAGGAATTGAGCCTAGGATGTAGCGTTGCAAATTGTCAAGTGCTAACCAATTAAGCCCAGGCTCTTTTCCTTGTGTAGTTGAGTTTTGGTTTCTGAAGTTTGCAGAACTGTGCCAAGTTCATGATTTCAGGATCTTTTGAAAAATTCCTTTTTTTTTTCTGCTCATAACTTTGCAAACAATAAAACCAGTGATCTGATTGGTCAAAACTGGGCCATAAGGTTTTAGTTATTCCCTTTTGAGAATTATACTATGATCTAGTGTGCTATGCAAAGGCACAATCCATCGGGGTGACCACCATCCAAGGACTTGATGGACGGTGGTGGAAAGGGAGTGGGACCTACCTATGGCTCATGCCCATTCCTGGTGTGCCCCACACACACGCTGTCTATCACCATCCACCATTCCACTGGATAGCGACAACGATGACTTTTAGTCCATTGGATTACACTTTTGTTTGCCTTTTTTCTTTGATAGTGTTAGTGTTTGGTATTTACAATGTTTTCATTTTCTCAAGATATTCTGCTCTTATTAATTGTATTGATATTTGGTTTTGGATGTGTTCCAGTGCTCAGAAAATGGCATCTTCATGCCACATGGATATTGATGAGCCTCCTTCTCAGTTCTTTACTGGTGAAGGAAGTCATGAAACTGCAAAAGGTACTCATACTTAAATGCTTGTGGATTGGAAAAAAATATTTTCTAGAATATTCATGATATGGCTAGAAATAATAAAAATAAATCTTCAAACCACAGATATGGATGAAGATGATTTTCCCTGTTCACCTACACTTGAACTCTCTTCAAGTCTGAAAGGAGAGAGCTTTTGTCGTCCTGATGCTCAAGGACCACCTGCCACACCTAGTAGAGAGGCATTTCCTAATGCCATGTTACAAGCCCCATGTACTCCTAGTTTATCAGAGGAAGCCATCCCAGCAAGTGTTCAAGAAGTTCCTGAGGTTTCAAAATCAATGCCTGATTCTAGCCCTAGTCCTCCCTTGCATGGGGACCTAGAATCGAAGGTAGATAACTACGAAGGTCCCCATGTGAAGCCAAATGAAAGCAATGAGGAAGCAAGTCAAGAAGTGGTTTGTGAAGTGTACCCTCCCACATCAATACCTGATTGTACAATTGCAAAAGATGAACGTGCACTGCAATTGGAAACTGAGAATCCTGTCACTCTATTAGGCAGTGCATTTCATTTAGAGGGGAAGAAATCTCTATTGGAGACCGAAAGTAACAAGACCGTTACAAGCCCATTGCCTCATGTGGTACCCACGGAAGCAGCCACATTGAGTCCTGACTCTTTAGTTGAAGTGTCAAGGTCTCCCGCCGATAATCCCAATGCTTCTATTGAAGAAAACGCCACAACAAGTGATTTGAAGCTTGAGAATGCTACAGTCAATGAAAATCAGGTGCCCCAAACTTCAGAGATTCATGAAAATGGTGAGGCAGTGGAGAATCAGCACAACCCACGTGATGCGCAAAAGTCATACCCTGGCAGTGAGATAGTTTCAGGAGGTGGAGCAGAGGTTGGGGAAACTGAGCTTCAAAATCATGATTCCGCACAAGATTTGCAATCTTTGAAGCATGATGTCCATGACAAGAGTGAATGCTTTGGATGTGACACACTGAGGCCCTGTAATTCAGTTGGGAATGGTGTAGAGCTTGTGGGTCCTGATGAAAATGGTGCAATCTTGTCACCAAGAGACATGAGTAATGCATCAGAAAAAGATGACACACTGGATGGCTGCAGTGCTTCCACAATTGCTGAGGTGCAAGGTTTGTTATAGTTCTTTGCTGATTCCTTCAAAATTTTTAAGGGGAAAATATCAGGACAGTATGTGAAATCCTCCACTTTTTTAGCCTTTAGAATAAAATTCCATCATGATTGTTCTTGAATGGATGGATTTCCAGCTTTGCATGCTACTATTCAAGGGCGCAATTTCAAGAATGTGACTCCTGCATATCGACAAAATACCGCCACTAATGGAATTTTGCCAATAGAAAAAAAAATAAAAATAAAAGAAAACTCTTTTTGCCACTTTCAACAAAAACTTGGATATTGTTACAAGTGATGATGAGCATTTAAGAGTTTTTATTTCCATGACTGACCATAAAGGTCTGTGGGTCTGATATGGCTACCACGACATTCAAAGGCCTTAAATATCAGTTCAGTATTTGGGCCCCTGAAATTTTAACAGGCTATAGTTTACTCCCACTTTTAAACATACTTCTCGAATATTGTCAACACCGGACCAGGGGTAAAATAGTCTCTTAAAAAATTGAGGGTTCTGCATGCCCTGATATTTCAGGTTTTTGGATGACTTTGATGATTCTGATATTTGTTTCATTTTCAATGCAAATCTATTCTTGCGTAACACCATGTTTCCAGGTGAAACCTGTCATAATTCCCAGACTTTGGATCCAGGCTTTGCAGTTGAACCTTCTTCACAATGCGTTCCATCCCAAACTCCATTAGTTTTTGGCAGTTCAGAGGATTTGACTCCTTTAGATAGTGAGGAACCAAATGATATGGGTTCCAAGAGCTCTGAAAATTTTCAGACTCCTGCGATTACACCTCCTGAAACATTGCGCTTGGCACCTACAGAGGATGAACGAGATGATGAACTGTTGAAGAATTTTATTTCAAAGAGAAAGTCAATTGCAGAGGAAGGAAGAAGTGTCGAGGAGACTGAAAATGTTTATACCCGGAAACGCCAGAAAATTGATTCTATACCTGCTTTGCAGGAGGGTATTTCCGGAAAATCATCTAAGGTTTCGCTGTTTAAACCCAACATGGATTACATTCCCGATGATGATGATCTGCTGTCCTCCATCTTAGGTATGTGACTTAAGGGAAAATGTACTATAACCAATAGAGTATGAAAAAACCATGGCCCATTTTTTGATTACCACTGTCCATTAAATGATGGATGGATAAATGATGGATGGTGATAGAGAGAGTGGGATCCAGAAATACTGAATATACCTTTCAGTGAGGACCTTACATGACCTTTCATCATTTCAATGGGTGCTGGTGATCTCAATGGACTATGGTCTTTTACAACCTTGAATTATAGTATAGTGATGCTTGACATTATTCGCTTTATATTGTTAACATGTTGGTATGATTATTGTTGCTGCAATTGCTGAGGTGTTATTGAATGGGTGGACTTGTTGAATTTTATGTAAATCTTTCCTGTTATGCATGGATATACATGATAATTTTATGGAAATATTCTTTGCTTCAGGGGGAAGACGTACTCCTGTTTTCAAGCTGAAGCCCACGCCGCCTGAACCAGTTCCGTCTAGAAAGCGTCCTAGATCAACACCCAAGGAGAATGTGAACAAGAGGAAGGTGCTTCTAGATGATAGCATGGTCCTTCATGGCGAGTAAGTTTTCTTCTACCGCATTTGGGTTGCTTTATGTGTTAACATTTATTTTTGTGCTCTTATGGGTTTTGTTATACCATTCTATGCTATTTTTTTTTATGTTTTTGGCAGTTTTTGTTTTCTTTTCACATTACTGCCTTCCAAAATTATTGGGATTTTTGCTTCCATATTGTTAGTAATAAATGTTTGTAGAAAGTGAAGGATTCTTTACGTATTGGGTATATAGCACTTACAGGACAGGCCTGTCTTCACCTTCTATCCTCAGTGAATGATGGTCGAGATTATCAATTCCTCTGCCTGACATACATTGGCAGTGTTTAGGTGAAGGAATTGATCATGTCCATCATCTACCATTCTGGGATGGAGGGGTCATGCTATGGACACTATATTCAATGTGCATTGTATACTCTCGCCATAGGAAAATGATTAATCTTTTTTTGAATATCAGAAGAGGAGCTTATATTGGAACTGAATTGAAATTTTTTGTTATTATTAGTGTGATAAGGCAACAGTTGTCAAGTACTGAAGATATTCGCCGCGTGCGGAAGAAGGCCCCTTGTACTCCTTATGAGATTTGGGTGATTAATAAGGACTTACGGGCTCATGAAATTTTTGAGGAACCCATTATAACTGGTGAGTTTCGTCTTGTACTTTCCCAAATTTGAGTTATGAATGACTTCAAACTTCCCAGGTATGGGTTCGACTGAGAGAGTTCCTATTGGTTTGTGTAGTGTATGGTACGCGATTCATTTTGCTTTTTTTACCACTTGGTCAGTATTCTGTGGGCTGTAGGCATTATGTTTTCTGATGAACAGAAAAATAAACTAAATGGCTGAATAAATAAGGATATTAATAGTAGTGCACTCAAGGTATAGGTGGTCAGGGCGGCAGGGTACCACAACATGACATCTTGAATTCAACTTCTGCTATGGCTAGGGGATCCCTTCCATTTTAATCTTCCGGGGGGGAAAAAAAGAAAAAAAGGCACTGATGAATCATAAGGGTTGATATTTGTACCTCCCTTTTGCGACTTCCTGATGTGAAACCCAGTGACCAAATGTTGGCACTTATACATTGATATTAGGATCCTGAGATAGGGAAGAATGTGGAAGTAGCTAAATGTGAGGACAGAACTAGCACATGTTAGGTTTGTTCGAAACATAGTTATCGGGAGCGGGAGTGGGAACGGCTCCGGTTCCGAGAGCGGGAGTGTCGGGCTCTGGAGCTCAGGGAGCGAGTTCTTGTGAGGGTAAAAGTAGTGGATCGAGATCCCGTATGAACAGGGAGCGCGTTCTCAATACATTGGGATCGAGATCCCTATTTAACGGGAACGTGTTCCATGTCAAATAGGATCGTGTTCCAATATTCGTTAGGATTGTGCTCCCATCGACAATAGGATCGTGCCCCCATTTACGAATGATCGTGTTCCTATTTGGAGAGGACCGAGCTCCATTCAAGGAAGGATTGCGTTCCGTGCGTGATTAGTCCGCGCTCCTAAAATTCTGGGAGCGGAACGAGATCCTTCCTTGAATGGAGCTCTTAAACTTCCCGGAACTCCATCCCTATGTTCCCGGACTAATTGTGGACTCCTAAACTTCTTGAAACTCCTAAACTTCCCCGAACTCCATCCCTACGTTTCTGGAACTCCATTCAAGGAAGGATCACGTTCATAAAAGTGGAGTTCTTGTAAAAGTCAATTTTATTGAAGGAGTTTCTTTTAGGAAGTTCAGGGAACGTAGGGGTGGAGTTCCGGAAATGTAGGGATCACGCTCTTAAAATTCTGGGTGCAGGGATCTAATTTATTCAAGAACAAGATCTATAGTTTTAAGGACCGCGTCCATCCGATAGTGGGATCGAGATCCTTTGTTCATGGGATCGAGAATCCTATAAATAAGAGCGAGCTTCCAAAAAATTTGGAGCGGGTTCCTGTAGAGATTCTGGCCACGAAGCGCCGTAGCTGGGTACTAGAGTGGAGCGCCACTCTAGTTGGGCGCTCCCGGTAAGTATGGTTGGAAACTTTCAGAAATGTGTTACGATTATCTATTCCTAGGGCATTGGTCGGCCAATTATAGATAAGGAATGAGTAAAAAGGAAATGAGTATAACAATACTTAAGTTAGATCGCCTTAAACAAACGCCTGTGATTTGTTCTGCTTCCTATTGGGATACTCATGTAGGTGATCTAGATTTTAATGACTCGTGGATTTTATCTATTTCAATTTCATGGAATCTGTTGCAGACTTGTACAAGGATGCATGTAGCCGACCCCAAATAGTTGGGAAAAGGCTCTGATGATGATGAGTTGCATTGTATGTTTTAGATTACAATATTTATGATGAGAACTTCATACATTTTTTTTTTTTGCTCTTCTTTCTTTGCTGGTTGTGTTGAACTTTCTGCTATTTTTTTTTTCCGTGGCATAATTTTCCAAGTGTTCTCAAATTATCATTGTTCTTTCATTCATCATGAGATACGTTTTGTCTCTCAAGTTTTGATTGTGCAAGAAATCTAAGGTTCGTCTCTGGGGTTCTTTTCTTCTTTCAGGTTTGTGTGCAGAACTGGTCGACTTGTACAGTCAAGCATCTTGTATGATTGGGACTGGAGTTTCTCATATCAGTGGAAATGATTGTAACTCTGAAGCACTAAAATTTGGGGAGTTTTATGGCGACAGGGAACTCAAGGAAGGAAATGCAGAAGGTGCAGATGAACTTCCTGAATCGATGCCAGACCAGCCATTGATTGAGGTTGAAAACCATCACAATGAAAATGCTATTTCAGAATGTGGAGGCCATGCTCAAGAGAGTGCTGAATTTTTAGCTGGTATATCTTCCTCCATGGTCAAAAATGGAGAATCAGTGGAAAATGGTTCTGTGGAGCTAACCATTCAGGGTGAAGTTCCTCAACCATCAGGCTATGATGCTATTAGTATTGATGGTGAACCAGGAAAGGTTCCTTCCTTAGAACCTAGTTGCAATGGCTTGGCTAGTTCTAGCAATGAGGCTTCTACAATGGATGATGGAGAGGCCATAAGGCATCAGGAAAATGGTGGGTCTCCTTGTCTACAGGACCAGAGAGGGGTTGAACTTCAGGAGGTGAATGGGGAAGTTGGAGTTTGTACAGATAACTTCGTGGACAAAAAGGATGTAGCAAATGAAGGAATTGTGGTTTTGACCGAGACATTTGTTGTTGAACAAGGTACATCCAATGAGGAAAACACCGTTGTTTGTGAGGAGGTAGCTGGCGGAAGGGATGAATCCAATGGTGAAACTGGTATCTTTAGTGAAAAATTAGCTGATGAAAGAGATGGAAAAGTTGACACTGCATGTGGTGACATGGTACCTGATACTTTCAATAATGATGCTCCTGAATCAGGATCAGGTATTGTAAAGGACTCTTCTGATTCCTTGGAAAACATGGATTCATCCAAATTGGACACTACTATTGGAAAAGGTGGTGAACCTGAACCAACCGTTATTGAAGGTCAGGAACTAGTAGGGATTACAAGAAGCGATTCAGAGATTGTTGTGGAGGATAGAGAAAGGGCTGAAAAGCCCCAGAAATATGAGCAAGTTCAGAATTCAGATGAAATCCCATCTGGCGAGCATATTTCTTCAGAATATATCATTTCTGGATCTCCATGGCATGATGCACAATTTGATGTGGAAATGAGAGATGAACCCAAAGTTGACTGCAGGGAAAATCCCACCCAGCAAGAGGGTAGTTCTGGAGCTGATCTGAGTGAGACTGCTACTGATGTGCACATGACTGCTGTTGAAGACCCTGATGTATGTTCTTGTTGCTTGCTGAGTTTAACGTAGTATTCTTTTTTTTTCACCTGTTTATCAATGATCATTATACTTTTTGTCATGGTAACTTCTGATAAAAATTATCCCTATGAGACCTCCTGTCCACGACCTTAGGGATAAGTTTAGGTCATCACGGCTGCTGGAAATTTACTTGTCATTTTTAATACCCTCACAGATTTGCCTGTAAAATTTAAATGATTCTCAGAATTGCCATAGAGGCATGTAAATGCATCATATGTGGTACCTATTGATCCATTGGTATCATATATGCTTGTTATAGATTAAGCACAGTGATTCATTTTATCATTTCCAATGCAGATATGATGTTTGCTTGTGACTTGGGATGTATACTTGTAAATGGAAACTTAGTATATTGAACTAATATTTTTAAATTATTCATTTGGTGCAGGACTTTGACCATGTTATAGATGGCAGTAATACAGGTTAGTTGTATTCAATTTTTTGTTTGACCAAGTTCTACTCAGGGTTCATGTTGTTTAGTCTTTTGAATGTAGAGGATAATTTGATGATGGTTTGACCATTAGTAATGCTGTTTTTCTTTAGCATAGATTGGTAGGAGTTTGATATTTTTGTTTCACCTTCTCACCATGATCAAAGAGAAAACATATCCCCGCAACGGTGCAACCTGTTGTATAATCCTTTCTTTATTTGCCTCCCCCTTTTCATGGATCCTTTAAGCTATGACCGAAATGTAGAACACATTTATCTGGTTGGGACACTATACAACAGGCTTTTTAGCACATATTTGTGCGTGTGGCAACGTTTTACAAGTTGCAACTCCATAAATAATGCGGTCAACATTCCAAAAAAGAAGAATTTTGTTTTTATCCGGTATAGACTTGTAGTGGATTACTTTTATTAAGTTCGTCGTTATGGAGTTGTTAATGTGACTTGATAAATAATAAACCGAATCGAATGTATTCAAGAAGGAAACAGGACAAACTTTTTTTGGATAATTCAGTGAAACAAGACAAACTTGGTTCGAAGGAAGAACATTATAATGCATTTTGATCTAATTACCATCAAAGATATCAAAGCTATCTTATGCTTGTGTTGTTTTTCTGGTGCAAGTGCCATCTTTTTTTCTTTTTATGGAATATAAGAACGTAAGTACTTTTGGGACTCATTTTGGGAAATGTCTTGCTTGTATTTTCAGAGTTCTTGTTTGAAGATGATGATGCTTTGCCTGAAGATGGGAACAATGACATGCCTAATGCTGAACAGGAACGTTTTCTTGAAAATGCTGGGTGGTCTTCGAGAACAAGGTGGATTTCTTTTATTCTCATTGGTCTCAGCAATCTCTGTATTTTTCTTGAAAGTGATGTTTGTTTAGTAAACACTGTTCTGTGAGTTTGATTCTCTCAGTTAATGCGGAACTCTTTCTTTGACAGAGCGGTTGCAAGGTACCTACAGATACTGTTTGATGATAGAGGGTCACATTCTAATAAAGCTGGAAGAGGGGCCCCACAAAAGGTAGGTCTAGACCGCCTTTTGGTGGGAAAGAGTCGGAAGGAAGCGTCAAGAATGTTTTTCGAGACATTGGTATATCTCATCCTCCCTTTTTCTCAACTCATATGGATTGTTTGGGGCTAGAATGGTTTTAGCCTTAGTCGCATGTTATATCATATATGTTGTCTTTTTGCATGACTTATTTTTAAATATATCAAAGCATATAGCTTTTTATGCAGTTGTTTTCTTTTGCTGAGGTTGTTTACTTCCTTAGGTGTTTTGGACATGAATTCGTATTTACATTATATACCCTATTTTGTATATACATTATATATCCTATTTTTCATTGCATTCTTATTTACATAGTTATTACATTTCGCACCCTATTCTTATAATCTTATTTGCATTACGTTTCCTATTTTTTAGTTAATGGAATAGGATGCCAAGTTGATCCACTAACCCTTACATAAGCCTATTCTTCTGTTTTCACCCTTAAAACTGATCACCCTCTCTACTTGCTGCATGTCCTTAAAGTAGTATCTTGTGTCCAAAACGAT